TCAATGGCTAAACAGAGGGGTTATGTTTTATTCTAAAGGCAATAGAAAGCCAATGATTGAATAACAGAGCCACATGGTCGGGCAAGGGCTTAAGGGAAATTACTTTCACAGTAGTGTGGTGGGATGGACCAGAGTAGGGAGAGACTTGAGTCAGGGAAATCAGTTCGGAGGCTGTTTCAATAACAGCATAGAGAAGTGGGGTTTGAATTAAAGTAGTAACTGCATGAGCAAAGAGGAGGTCTGATGCTAGAGATTTTGTGTGTGTAGAATTCCTGCTTCTAAAGGAGAGGGACTAATTTTGTTGGTGACGGTAATGGATGTTCCTCAGCTCTGAGAATAATGCCTTGAACGTAGTAAATGCTTAATATGTGTTTATTTAATTGAACCGAAGGTGGGAAATATTTTTAATCTTGTGTTTATATTCTCTTCATCTTGCATGTACTCATACCCAAATCCTCCAACTGGATCTAAGATCTCATCTTGTTGATCACTAGTTTCCTTGGGCAGCAATGCATATCACGACATTATATTTCCACCCAAGAGTCTAAGGGCCTAAGGGCCTCTATCCAGCATTCAGACAATCAATCTTTTCTTTCTCCTGACCTCTTGAAGAAACCAAATGAACATATGGACTATTATTCTATCATTATTACCATCTATTATTATTGTTCTATTATTACTATTATTATTATTCTATTATTCTATAGTCTATTATTACTATTGTTATTACCATGCATTATTACTCAAAATTGTCATGTGGCTAACCAATATTCATTTCATTCATACATGAATTTTACGACATCCTTCATGCCTTTCATGTACTGAACACCTAATAAACACTTGCTGAATTGTTTCTGTTGTTGTTGAGGGCTTTGCTGGCAGCCTGAAAACTTTGGTAGATGCTTCTTCAAGATGAAAAGATAGCTTTTTCAAGATGTTACTACTTTTCCTCCATCAAGGATCTCAATTCCAGAGTACAATCTCTCTATGCTTCAGTAGATGGTCTTCCAAAACTGCTGCAACAAAACAAAACAAAACAAAACATCCAAATCCAGTAAACATTGGTTAAGCACCTACTATGTGCTAGGTACTGTTCTAAATGCTGGGGATACAATTAGTAAAAAAGAAAGACAGTGCCTGCCCATGGACTATATGCTTATTATCGAAGTCTAACTGTTATCTTAGATCGACTAGATTTAGAGAAATCCATTTTCAGCTTGTGATTATACTACAATCCATTAGGTCATAAGCTCTTTGAAGGCAGGAACTTTCTTTCTTTCTTTCTTTCTTTCTTTCTTTTTCCTTCCTTCCTTCCTTCCTTCCTTCCTTCCTTCCTTCCTTCCTTCCTTCTTTCTGTCTTTTTCTTTCTTTCTTTCTTTCTTTCTTTCTTTCTTTCTTTCTTTCTTTCTTTCTTTCTTTCTTCTTTCTTTCTTCCTTCCTTCCTTCCTTCCTTCCTTCCTTTGTCTTCTTTCTTTCTTTCTTTCTTTCTTTCTTTCTTTCTTTCTTTCTTTCTTTCTTTTCTTTCTTTCTTTCTTTCTTTCTTTCTTTCTTTCTTTCCTTCCTTCCCTCTTTCTTTTTGTCTTTTTTTTTTTATTAATTGTATCCCTAGCACTGAGAATAGTGCCTAGTACATAGTAGGCATTGAAGGTACACAGAATTTTTACTGGATTGGGATGTTGTTGCTTTGATTTTTTTTGGCAGAAGTTTTGGAAGACCATCTACTGAATAACAGAGAGATTGCACTCTGGCAATAAGATCGTTGAAGTAGTAAAAGTAGGAACATCTTGAAAAAAACCATCTAATACCCCAGGTCCTCTCCCCTCTCCTAATACCCTCCCCTATAAAAGACTGAATTGAATTGGAACAATTTTATTCTTAATGACTTTTGAAGGATATAATAAGAGTTTATTGATCTACAAACACACTGACCAACTTCCCTCCTACCTCCCTCCCCCAGTGGAACATTTAGTATCATATCTGGATTTGGTGATTCATATATAGAATCTGAACATACACAGTCAACACTCAACGAATAAGCTATAATACCGTTGGTGACAGAGATAGGTTTAATCTGAATTTATAGCAAGTGTTTTAAAAATAATGCTTATTTGAATAAAAAACATTCTTTTTTTTGGCTAGGCAATGGGGTTAAGTGACTTGCCCAGGGTCACATAGCTAGTAAGTGGTATGTGTCTGAGGTTGGATTGGAACTCAAGTCCTCCTGAATTCAGGGCCAGTGCTCTATCCACTGTGCCACCTAGCTGCCCCAAATCAAAAATATTCTTAACTAGATTCAATTAATTTATTTTAAAAATATATTTTATGCCATTTTAGTATAGTTATTATAATTTATAATCTTATATGTTTTCTTCTATGCATTTAATTAAGAACATTGTCCTGAGAAGAAGTCTGCAGGCTTCATCACGTACACACACACACACACACACACACACACACACGCACACACACACACACACACTCACACAGACACACAGACACACGCACACAGACACACACAGTTTAAGAACCACTGTTTTAGAGTATCATGTAACTTTCACTGGCATATGAGAATATCACATATTTTGTGAATTTACTTTCAGCTAATGAGGTTACTCTGTGCACTGATTAAGAGGCCCTTGGAAGCTAAGTTGTCTAATTTCCTCATTATTGTCCCTGCTCACGCCCTCTCTGAAACTCAGCTATTGCTGAGAATAGATAGCATCACCTCTCAGATAGTCCACTAGGATATCATAGCATACTTAACAGGGATCAGAAAGCCAAGCCTACCATTATAATTTTCTAGCTTTCTTAGGAAACAGAAGTGAATGACACATTGTCCTCTGTTAAGTCTTCCTTGGAGTGGAGGGCATGGTTGATTGGTTCACAAAGCATTTATCTGTACTCCAAATAAATATAAAGAGCTGAGATGCCAACAAAGTAAATACTTGAGCATAGCTGTATTGTCTAATTGGAAAGATATAATTTACTGTGAGTAAGGTCCAGGGTGAATAATTCATGAAATATAAGGTTGGAAAGTGCTGAAATATTCCATATTTTATGGGAGGATCCTGATTTAAAGTAGTTCTATTCAGGCAACAGTAAACATATGCCTATATTTGTAAGGGAGCTAGGCCTATTAGGTTAATGCAATGAGACATGGGATAAGAGCAAAGAAACCTACCTAGGAGCTTCATGTCCTAGTTTTCACTATGATACAATGGACATAAGTTTATCCACATCCTACTTGGCTCTAAGATATACTGTGGAGCTAAAGAAAATGATGGATATGAATCTTCTTTGAGAGAGAAAGGCCATCTTCATATAAAAGTGATTGTTAACTGTTTTTTAGTAAAAAAATGATGATTCAAAGCACTTGAAAGAAACCTTAAAACACTATGTCATTATGATTATACATTGGATAGAGTGTTGGACCTGGATTCAGGATAAATTGAGTTGAAATCCTATATCAGACACTTACTAGCTACGTGACCTTGTTCAAATCACTTGACTTCTCTCTGCCTTGGTTTCCTCATCTGTAAAATGGTGATAATGACAGCACCCACCTTCCAGAGTTGTTGATAGAATCAAATGAGATAATATTTGTAAAGTACTTTGAAAACCTTAAAGTGCTCTATTAATGTTGTTATTAATATTTTAATTATTATTATTACTACTATAATTAATTGTGGGTGGTACAGTCAACACAGCATTGGATTTGGAGTCAAAAGTGTATGAGTTCCAGTCCTGACTTAGACACACTAGTTGTGGGACACCAGATAAGTCACCTAACTGCTATCAGCCTTAATTTCCTCATTTGTAAAATAGAAATATTTGTAAATAGAAACAACTATTTTATTCTGTTGTTGTGAGGGTTAAATGAAGTAATATATGTACGCATTTGCAAACCTTCGAGCTCTATACAATAGCTACCTATTATTATGCCATAATGTTTGGAAAAAATAGCCACAGACTCAGGATGGCTTGGAGTCAAACCCTGCCTCTGGCACATGCTGGCACATGACTCTAGGCAAGTCATTTGAACCATAAATATTTTAGGCTTTATTCTGTAAGACTATCAGTTACAAAGAAAATGTCAATCTCTATTGGTAGAGGGAATTTCCTCACCCAGGAGGAAATCAGTGATGTTATATGTCCAGTCCTTATCCTTAAAATTATCATTAGCATTATTGGAGGCAGCTTGGAGAACTTGGAGTCAAGAAGACTTGAATTAAAATCCCATTTCAGATGCTAGCTGTGTGACTCTGGGAAGTCACTTAACCCCCACATGCCTCAGTTTCCACCTCTGTAAAATAAGCATGATAATAGCAGCTCTCTCAAAGGTTGTTGTGAGGATCAAATGAGTTAAAATATGTAAGCGCTTTGTGAACCTTAAGGTGTTATATAAATAATGAGAATAATTATTATCATTGAAATGCAAAATTTAAAAAGAAGAAAAAAAACAGATAGATAAATGAAGTCATAAGGGAGGAGAGCCTAGAACATAATACCTTCTTGCCTGTGCCTGTGCCTCTGCCTCTTAGAATTCCTCACTTCCTTCAAGATGTAGTTCGATTACTACCTTATACATGAAGTTTTTCTTGAATCCCCTCAACTGCTCCCGACTCCTTCATTAACCACCATGTACTGTATTCTATATAAAGTTGTTCTCTCTCTCTCTCTCTTACTCCATCCCACCCCCCCTACGAGTGCACGTGCACACACACACACACACACACACACACACACACACACACATTTTCTTCTCTAATAGAATGTAAGTTACTTGAAGGAAGGAACTATGTCTCTTTTGCTCTTGTATCCATAGTGGCAAATATAATGCTTGGCATATAGTCATCACCCAATAAATGCTGATGGATGGATAAATGGTTGGATTGATAGATGGATGTATGTATGTATGTATGTATGGATGGATGGATGGATGGATGGCTTGTAACCCAGTGTATCACCAAAATAATTTTCTCTCTCTTTCTCTGATATAGTTCGATGTCTGTCCACTGGTCGGGTTGCCCTATAGGAAGCCATGCTTGGATACTTATAGCCATGTTTCAACTAGCCATGGATTTCCCCACCTGTGAATCTCTAGCCCAAGGCCCAGAGTTCAGGCTCTTGCCTCGGCCTTTCCACAATCCTAGATTGTGGAATTTTAAGAATGGACTGGCAACGAAGATCCCTACCCCTTTATGGAACCTTCTTTCATTCCGTCCTGAGCGTGCACATGGACAAATACGAACATATCATTCCAGAGTGACCCACAGGACCAGGGACCAGGGGGACATCCCTTTGAAAAGTGGGCCATCGAAACACCCAGAAGCTGCCAAATTCAACCCTTCCATTCCGTCCTTGGTGGGCAGTGGGAGCATAGAACAGCAGAAACCTTTAAGAAGAGACAAAAGGCATCTACAAGGGGATAGTTTGAATAATTTTGACTTCAGAGGGAACAAACCCACAGTGGAAACTGAATTCATTGCCTGGGGTCCCACAGGGGAAGAAGAGTCTGTAGAATCTAGCACATCTCCTGGGATTTATGGCCCCACCACTGTCTCCATTTTACAAACCAGAAAGACAACTGTGGCCACTACCACCACCACTACCACAAGCTATGTCACTCTACAAACTAAGGGATTCATGGAGTCCCTTAGTCCTGGGATTATTAAGAACAACCCTAACTATCCGGGTAGGATTAGCACAACAGAAGCCTCCACTGTTCCCAACAGCAATGGCAAAGACATCACGCCACCACGGATTCTGGAGCCCTCGGGTACTCTTTATCTCTTTCGGGGTTTGGGCTGGGAAGTTGGTTTTTTGAACAATGTGTTGTTGCTCCTTTAGTGAGGAGTGTCTATTTTTTGTACCAACTTATGACCAGTGTAAGTCTGAATAGCATAAGCAGCCAACCTGGTGTGACTCTGGTTCTGCTACAAGCAGAAAAGTGTGTGATTTTGGTGACATTTGTGCATGCACGTACATAAGTTGATGCGTGATTTGGCCCAAAGTTAGAAACAGATCATGTCTTCCTGGGATGCTAGCTGAACAATGGGAGTTTATAAAATGTGCTTTGGTCTACTTTGTGTGTCCATGGGAGGTAGTGAGGGACTAGAGTCTTGGGTTGAATGCTGTGAGGTAGATGGGAAAGGAGGAGAGTGGTAGTCACAAACTCTTGTAACTCTAGTAGTCTGTCTTGTAGATAGCCAGAAAAATCCAAATCTAGGCATCCGATGATAGAATTTTATGGAGCCATTAAGGTTTTCTTCAGATTCCCAGAGTCATGCCTCTAATGGATTTGCAATGGATTCAGGGAATGTTCACAGTAACAGGGAAGCTTGAGGATAGGTTAAAAACATCACCCAAAAAGCAAACACAAAACTTCATTACAGAGTCTTCTTGCACTCATTGAAAGGGCAAACACAAAAATATTACACCACAAGGGCTCACAGAAACCCAGATAGGGGTGGTTCCCATTTTGAAAAATGTGGTTCATCCAAATCTCCAACAACTGTCCAATTCAAGCCTTCCATTCTGTTGAGAGCAGATTAAGCACTTAAATAACAATGACTGAAAGTGTGGGATATTTTTTCCCTCCAGGAGTCTTTTAAGAGCACATTAAACATATCATCAGGGGATGAATAATAGGTAAATGTGCTGAGTAGGAGGGTGATGGACTAGGCTTTGGTGGGAGGTGGTTCTCGTAGACATTAGCTTCCTATTTGTGCTGGGGTAGTCATGATTCATACTTACGGCTCAAGATTATTAAATATCCATTTGTGAGGTTTTCTTTCCCTTTTTTCCTCTGGTCCCAGCCCCTGTTCCACACCTTTGCATTTTTTTTTTTGCTTTCTGCAGGGCTATTTTGGCTTCATTCCTTGCTCCACAAGAGGCAGAAATCCCCTCAGTTCTCCAGGGATAAAAGCCCTTGCCACAGCATCCATAGTTGTTCTGCACAGAGATGGAGCTCGGAAGAAGCTTAGAAATATCCTTGAGCTTCCAATCCTTGTGGGGCACACTTTGGCTATTTACAATTCACATCCAGTTTTGTTTGCCTTTGTTAACCAGCATCAGTCACATACAGTATAACAGCTTGGGAGTCCATGGATGGGCGCAGCCCAAATACATTCTATGTAAACAACAACTTTTTGCCAACCCCATAAAATGTAAGAATTACAGAGCCCTGCCATAAAATGGGAGCCTGCAGATCTGATCCTTTCTTCAAAATATTCAGTTTGATATGGTTGGGGGTGTCTAGGCCCTGAGATCCATATCCTTCATGGGGTACCAGTAGGACAACAAGTGATTCTGTTTCTCTTGGCCTGTTTTCTCACCTTGGCTACCATAACCCCCTGCCTTAGTCTCAGATGCCTGCATATTGTTCTCAAATTTCAACACGTGCCCTTCTTTCTGATAATTTAGATCAGTAGAGAATGGATGGTTTTGATTTCCAAATCATCAACTCCAACCCTCCCCAACCCATCTGATTTACTGGTTTCCTTCCAATGGGAAAGACCAGGGTATCTCAGCAGAAAGTTGTCACCCATCTGGCAACGTGGTCATAGATGTAGCAGAGATCATCCAGTCTGTGGTCACTGCTTCCATTTTACAGGTGAATAAGCTGAGGTTTAAGGAAGTTAATTGGCTTACCCAAGTTCATGCATATAGTAAGTGGCAAAAAATTGGACTTGAAACTCCATCTAGTGACTCCAAAGTTGGGGTTATATTAACCAGTAAACCTTTTTAAAGCACCTACTATGTCTCAAGCACTGGGCTCAGTATTAGAGCCAGAGACAAGAGAGAAATCCAGGACAGAAAGCATTTCCCAATAGAGATCTTGGAGGGACCTCCATGGGTTTGTTTTCTCACACATTGCAAACTCTCAGCAAGGAAGCCTAGTTGAGATTGAAGAATCTGGACGCACACAAAGCTGGCAATCCATCATCTGTGTCAGACCTCCTGGAGGAGCATTCAAAGCATCTTCCCCCTTCCCCCAATAAACTCACAAGCCATCATCAAAATAGAATTTAATATACAGTATTCATTTAATGTCATCTCTTCCATATATGTCACTATAGGGACACAGATGAGAAAACAATTTCCCACTTATTCCAAATTAGATTTGTTATTACTAAAGTTAAACTGCTAGGGCAGTATTAGAGGGATTAGCAAATTAATTCACAGAACATTGGACATTACTAATCTGACACGACAGATGCTTATCTTGGAAAAAAAGATTTATGGTTCTTCATAAAATAATCTAGTCTCAGATTAATTTGTCTGGTGAGATGAATTCAAAAAGGGGAAAATGTATGTTTGCTGCCAAGGGAAAGAAATTTTAACAGGCCAAAGAGACGACATCCTGGGGATCAGGTAAAAAGATACTGACAGTGAGCCTCATTAAAGGGGATGGTGGAGGGGGGGGATCAATCATTTCAGGGTAGGAAATCTCAGAAATTGACACCACAATTTGCTGAGACAGCACCCCTAACTCTTACCAAGAAACCTTTCCCTACCCCAGCTTCTGGGTATTGCTTATGGAAATTGGAACCTGAGCTTTGTCACTACAGCATCAAAGGTATTTTAAGTCAGACACTAGGAAGCCTTGACTGAGTGATTGAATCAGTTTATTCAATTAGTTAATCAGCAAGCACTTTATTAATTGCCTAGTATGTGTCAGGCATATATTAATAGGCACTGGTAATACAAAGAACAAAAAAAATACAAGTCTGTGCCCTCAGAGAGCTTATGTTCTGCAAGAGAGAGAGAGAGAGAGAGAGAGAGAGAGAGAGAGAGAGAGGGAGAGAGAGAGAGAGAGAGAGAGGGGGGAGAGAGGGAGAGAGAGAGAGAGAGAGAGGGAGAGAGAGAGAGAGAGGGAGAGAGAGAGAGAGAGAGGGAGAGAGAGAGAGAGAGAGAGGGAGAGAGAGAGAGAGAGAGGGAGGGAGGGAGAGAGAGGGGAAAGAGAGGAAGAGAGGAGAGAGGAGGAGGGAGAAGAGAGGAGAGAGGGAGAGAGAGAGGAGAGGGGGAAGGGGGGGAGAGAGAGAGAGAGAGGAGGAGAGAGAGAGAAGAGAGGGAGGAGAGAGAGAGAGAGAGGAGAGAGAGAGAGAGGGAGAGAGAGAGAGAGAGAGAGAGAGAGAGAGAGAGAAGAGAGAGAGAGAGAGAGAGGGAGAGAGAGAGAGAGAGAGAGAGAGAGAATGAGAGGGAATAACAAGGTTTTTTGGGGGGGTGGGATATGGGAGGAGAATCAGGAAAGTTGTTGTTGTTGTTTTTTTCGTAAATAGTATTTTACTTTTTCCCAATTACATATAAAGATGGTTTTCATTATTCATTTTATAAGATTCTGAGTTCCAAAATTTTTTTTCCCTCCCATCCCGCTTCCCAAAGACAGAAAACAATCTGATATGTTATACATGTGCAATCTTGTAAACATATTTCTACATTAGTCATGTTGTGAAAGAAGAGGCATAACAAAAGGGAAAAGCCACAGAAAACAGCCCAAAATGTGAAAATAGCATGCTTTGATTTGTGTTTGGACTCCATAGTTCTTTCTCTGGATATGGATAGCATTTTCTGTCATGAGTCTTTTGTAATTGTTTGGATCACTGTGTTGCAGAGAAGAAGTCAATCATAGTGATCATCACGTGATGTGGCTGTTACTGTGTACAATGTTCTCCTGGTTCTTCTCACTTCACTCAGCATCAGTATATACAAGTCTTTCCAGTTTTTTTCTGAAATCTGCCTGGTCATTATTTCTTATAGCACGATAGCATCCCATTATATTCATATGCCACAACTTGTTCAGCCATTCCCCAGTTGATGGTCATCTCCTCAATTTTCCAATTCTTTGCCACCACAAAAAGAGCCGCTATATTTTTATACATGTGGGTCCTTTTCCTTTTTTTTTTTTTTTAAATCTCTTTGGGATATAGACCTAGTACTGGTATTGCTGGATCAAAGGGCATGCAATAGTTTTACAGACCTTTGGGCAAAGTTCCAAATTGCTGTCCAGAATGGTTGGATCAGTTCACAACTTCACCAACAATGCATTAGTGTCCGAATTTTCCCACATCTTATCCGACATTTATCATTTTCCTTTTTTGTCATATTAGCCAATCTGACAGGTGTGAGGAGGAGGTACCTCAGAGTTGTTTTAATTTGCATTTATCTTATCAATAGTGATTTTAGACATTTATTCACATAGCTATAGACATCTTTAATTTCTTCTTCTGAAAACTTCCAGTTCATTTCCTTTCACCATTTATCAATAGGGCAAATGACTTGTATTCTTATAAATTTGACTCAGTTCTCCATAAATATATTTTAGAAATGTGGCCTTTATCAGAGACACTGGCTGTAAAAATTGTTTCCCATCTGTCTGTTTTCCTTCTAATCTTGGATGAATTGGTTTTATTTTTGCAAAAACTTTTTAACTTAATGTAATTAAAATCATCCATTTTGCATTCCATAATGTTCTCTATCTCTTGATTGGTCATACGTTCTTCCATTTTTCATAAATCTGACAGGTAAACTATTCCTTGATCTCCTAATTTGCTTTTGGTATCACCCTTTATGTCTAATTCACATACACATTTGACCTTATCTTGGTAAATGGTGTGAGATGTTGGTCTATGCCTAGTATGTACCGCATTATTTTTCAGTTTTCCCAGTAGTTTATGTCAAATAGTGACTTCTTATCCAAGAAGCTGGAGTCTTTGGGTTTATCAAACATTAGATTACTATAGTCATTTAGTACTCTGTCTTGGGTACGTAATCTAT